GGGCCACTCTAAGGCAGGCAGGGACCCAACCTCCTGCATATACGCTGAACAAGCCGCAGTGCTTCAGAGACAGCACCCGTACTGCATGCCTGCAGCAAGTATGGACAATTTGCACGTGTATCGTGGCTGGAGGCTGCAAAAGGCCAAAACACAAGGCCCTCTTGCAGTCAGTTGGGAATACTGGGCATTAGTTTTAAGACTTTTCCTTCTTCCTTGAAGAGTCTGAATCTGTCACTATGCTTTATTTAAACAGAGCATATTATACTCTCTTTGCACAGAATGGCACAACACGTGACCCACATGGAGCTGAAGGAAATAAACAACAAACGAAACACACTTCTTTCAGCCACTATTTCATGCTTTCCAGCTGGTGAGAACAGAGCTACTGAGAAAAGCATTGTACATTCGCCCTCAATTAGAAAACAGCAATGACACAAATACCTGCCAGTATTATGGCCAACCAGGCTGGAGTGATCTTCCTGGTTCAGGACGAAACGCAGCATCTCAGGCTGTCCAAGACCTACAACTTCACCTGTGCGTTACATGACATAAAAGGGAGCAGAACATCCTTGGTTGCAGCTTCCTGAAAACACAGGAAACCTTACAGAGAGGAAGTTAGACATCTCTACCCACTCCCAGCTGATTTAATCTGAAATTCCTGGGGAATGATCCTAGGGAGGGAGAATTAAGTTCTAGGAACTTCATCCCAGGAAATCCCTTTGTGAAAGCTTTCACAATCATCCATCCCTGGGACTCCTAAAGGGATAAATATAAGCAGCGTTTCATATTTCAGTCCATGTTGCTAACAAACAAGACTGGAAGCAGGTCTGGTCCCACCAACATTTCTGCTATTGGCAACGTATATCCTGCAAGAAATGTGCCTGAAATGGGCTGACACTACAGCAAAAGGCAGCAGCAAATACAGACAACTTCACTTAGCAATTCTACTCCAAAATCTTGGAAAATTTTAAGTCAAGGTGCCACCATTGCATCCCTACATCTTAAAACCCTAGTCAGCCACTGTTCACACTTCAGTTCAGAATTATTAGTACAGTAGGTTATATATAGTTATTGTATATTATACCTTATATTTACCAAATCATACTTTGTTTCTATGCCTCAGAGTCCTGATTTGCTGAGCAGGGACAACATTGCTAGCTAGGAGGGCAGACTGTGATTCAATCAGACGCAGATCCCACAGGGTACAGAAGTTGTTAAGCCAACCAGGAAGAGGGGGAGAGGAGGGACAGGAGTGAAGAAATGCATGCATGACCACCACGGCTTTTAGGAACAAAGTTTATTCCAATTTCAAACAGAGAATTTATTTCAGGAGAAAGATATGAAAATCAATTTCCATCCGATATTTCTGTGTTGCCCAGCAGTCAGAGTGGGATCATTCCAAGAAACAATCACACTCCTGGACTGGAATGAGACAGTTTGGAGCCTGAATAGATCCTGACACTGGGCATCTTATTCAGAAACTCCTTTACCCTACCCTCTTCCCTCCCCCCACCCCAACACACACAACAATACATGCATTGCAAATGACAAGGTTTAAAAACAGCATTTTATATAGTATCTTTTTAAATAGGATAATGTTTAAATTGTCTTAAATCAGGATCCTATAATATACAAGTATAACCAAATAATTTCCACCACATTGGCACTTGTAAAGAGTCTCTGGCACTACTAAAGAAGGGGCATTGGCACAAACCATACTCTTTATAAAACTGGGTGCTGCATAACACACTTTATTTCTGCTGGACTCTAACAACCTGGGCTCTGTACAGTACAATACAATGGTCAGCACACTCTGGAAGTACTTTTAAAAAAAAAAAAACAATAAAACACATGAAGAAAACCCATAGTTGAACGCAAGGCCAACATTGCTAGGAAGCAACAAGAAGAGACCAGAGAATCCGACTCTGGGAGATGGGGAGACAGGGCAGGAGCTATCTGACACACTGAAGCAGTAAGGGGCTGTTGCTCACCAGGTAGCCAATCCACACAGAATGGTGCAAAGAAATGGGATGGTCCTCTCCTCACTGACTTCAGGTTTCAAACTGGTTCAAAGTATGTTGGTTTCTTCAGCAGAACAAAGATAAAAAGTGCACAAGGAGCAGAGGTTAGCCAAGAGACCACTTCCTCAGACTCAAGATTCTAGATTCTCTAGAAGAACCCAGTTCCACCTCTTTTCTGAAGGTCAATCTGTTGTCTCAACCTGCAGAAAGTTCTGACTGGCCTCACTTTCAGAAAAGATGATATAGGCAAATTTGGTTTAAGGTTTGGCACTTTTGCTAGGGCAGGCATTTGCCAAAGGGCCAGCCAAC